TCTATGTGCTTGCTTGACTATCGTTTTTAGGCAGTCACGGCAAGAAACAGTCCATTTTAACAGCATGATAACAGAGTTAATGCACATTATGAAAACAACAAGGTTTGCAGCACACAGCTGTCAAATGATCTCTCCTGGGTACGCCCTAAATCCTAAACACAAGCCTTTCTCTCAATCGGCAGGAACTTATAATGGAGATGGTGCAGAAGATGACAAAGTTATTTGACGATATCAGTGCTAGAGGGTATGCATTTGATATGCGTTATTCTCGAATAGCCGAGAAGAATCTAGTTTACTCAATAGGAAAACAGCTTCAAGTTTTATCTAGTGACAATGGTGCTATAGAGGGCTCTAGTTCCCAAAACATAACTGTAAGTATTAACCAGCAGCCGTTCTTTTCTGCATAGCTTTTTAGTCTCTGGTTGTGTTAATGTTGCATAAATGTCTTTAAAACTTCTTCAACATGGACATGGAGCTCTTTATGCTTGCTTCTACCCTTATCCGTCTTTGTATAATCTCCCTAATAGCACTATCGGAGAAAGATTAGAGGATTATCTGTTGTAAAACTTGATCAAGGCTTTCGGTAAAGTGGGGCAAGCGAAAAAACGGGCGTGAGAAATGGTGAATCTCTGCTAGACGTTATTTTTTTCCTTCTGACGAACAAATTTTTCTCTCGCGCTATTTTCACGATCGTCTCCTCTAATTCGGAGGGTACAGGCCATGTGTTGTGGTCTCACTAACCACAGCTGAATGAACTCTAACACTGATGAAACCATGATAATCAGGGCAAAAATCTAAATGCATAGATGATGAAACTTTCAGTCAGGGCCTATTTGAGATAAGGAGTATCTTACTAAATTTTTTATCTTGAACGAGAGTAAGACTGAATGATTTATTAATTAATGGTTGTGATTTCTTCGCGTTAACTTTGTTTTGACGGACAAGCAACTGGATGGACACCTGATCCGTGAACTGATCTAGCCCTCAGTAATCCTCTGGGTCAGTGAAAAGAACACATTTTAAACATCCCTTCAAAGCACAAAAAAATTGATTCTTGACGGCTCTAAAGTGGTGCTGGGATTTATTCTTTTGACATATTGTAGTCTCAGACGCCATATGGTCTGTTGGTCTAGTTGCTGGTCCTTCCCTTCGTTCGTGCGTTTTCGAAATTGAAGGGTTAGAAAGCGAACAAAAACCAAACCATTCTGGTGTGCTTGCAACTCTACTCCTTTAGTTCTGTGAGATGAAGGTTAATTAAAACCTCCACAACCCTTCCTGTTGGCTGCAGCTTACTTAATGTTTGTTTTTTCATTATAGACCTCTTTGGAAATTATGCGTAGAGTGTTGCAGACTGTAATCAAGGGAAAAGTTGTCGGAGAGGACCCAAGTGTGATAAAAACGGAACTTTTGGAGGCTCTTGTCGCAAGACGTCATCCAGAATATGTGGCAGGTTCTTTACTTACCTTAGAGACATGTTACGTTCATTTTCCTGAGTCACAAATTATGAGAGACATGCTTTCTGGCACTGGGGAGTACGTTGACTTAGAGGTATGGTTATGTTTATCATATTTGGTTTGCGATCTGAAATCTGACTCTGAAAGCAAGTAGTAGGATAAACCATTTGCAAAGCCGATTAACAAGTAGAGGAAGAGTTTTATATAACGCTGCATTCCATTCCATTCGACGCGCTCAAAAATTGAAGTGCAACTTGGGATTTTTGGGGATTTGTATGGCTATGCTTTATGTGCGTTTTGTGGGAAATAGTAGTTCGATGATGCAAAAAACTCAGGCTAAAAGCATCCATGATCATTTTTTCGTTTCAGGTAATTTCGTCGAAAGTCAACTATTATAAACAGAGTACCACCTCGTCATTCATCACATCATATATTGTTGAGGTTGATTTAAGAAGAGACTCTGGCGAAGTCCTTAATGTGCGGAACCTTACCACCGACATACAACTAGGAATAGAACTCCTCAACGGCAATGGAAGTTCACCTGAAAATGACTCTGTTTTTGATCAGGAAAACAAATATTTTGTCAAGCCAGGAAACATCCAGTATCACAGAATTGAAGTGAATCGCGAACGAACCTCATACCTCATAACAATGGCGTCTACGGGAAATTTGAACGTTTTGGTGAAATATGATAGCAAGCCAACAACGGATGATTTTGATGCAAATTTCACTGTTCCAGACTATTCTTCATGCACGAGAAATTTTATTATCGATGGGGATGATGAAGAATATAACTGCAGTCGTCATCCAAATCAACTGCTTTTGACAAATGCAGTAATACAAAAGCCTGGAGTTTATTTTTTAGGAATCCTTTATACTCAACACTCCTCCCCTGGTAGCAATTCCCATCGTATGCGGAGGTCTTGTTTTAGCGCCAACAGGCAAAAACGGTCATGTATCGAGACAAAAGACCCTCTACCCCCTCTGGGTGTTTACGAGTATGCTACCATCCCAGCTTATGATCCACGCGTTGACGTGAACTACACACTTGTCTCAGATGAACTCAGCTGTCGATTTTGGTCACATGAAGGTCAGAAATGGCTAACTGAAGGCTGTAAGGTATACTGCTAAAATTTATTTGGAAAAAGAGGCTTACGGTATGATTTGATTTGGATTGTTACACCGGACGATGCCGCCGGAGCAATCACGATATAGAAAAAGTAATAAACGTCAGGTGTTTGGAAAGACCTGTAATTAAGGGTACCTATGCAGGAGAGGTAAACTATGTGCTAATCAAATCTCGCCCCAAGACCTCTTTCAGTCCAAACTTCCTTCAGGTATGGTATGGTATAGCTTTTTCAAAAACTAAATTCGGCTTGTGTTGTAAGGCAACATGGTATATTACACTATAATACAATCACATCAGTAATTCTTTTTCCTTTGCACCCCAGGTCGGACCTCAGTCTAATAAGCATCGTCTTCTTTGTCTTTGTAACCACCTTACATCGTTCGGTGGAGGCCTTCTAGTAGCACCCAATCCAATTGACATTGATGCCGTTTTTAAAGAGCTCAGCCGCCTCGACGAAAGTGGTAACTTTGGTGTCCTTCTTACGATCATTTTCGCATTTTTTTTGTATTGTATTGCCTTCATCCTCGCCAAGAGGGCGGATAGAAGAGATCTTGCTAAGGTAAGGATTCAAGTGGTCGTTAGGCGTTTGATAACTTTTATTAATCATTTTGGGTCTCGTTCTCTTATTCATATCTATTTTCCTTCAGCGTGGGTCTAGGATTCTTTTGGAAACTGAAGAGTGTCTAGTCGCTCATCAGTATGAGCTCACAATCAGCACAGGTGTGTGGTCAGAAAGTGGCACCACAGCCAGAGTAACTATGGTGTTTTACGGTAGCCATGGAAGCAGTGGACCAATCACTCTGCGCGGTAACCTGTATCCTCCTCGGTTGCTGCTATCTCGCGGTAGTGTCGACAGGTACCTTGTCTCACTTCCAGCATCCCTTGGAACTTTAACCCACGCTTATGTTTGGCATGATAACTCTGGAGAAAGTCCTTCTTGGTTCTTGGACTACATAGTTGTTAGGGAACAAAAAACGAGTCAAGAATGGAAATTTTTATGCAATCAGTGGTTTTCTCCCGACAAGGACGATGGAAAAATTGCTAGGAAGTTGTTGGTCGAGAGCACAAACTCATTTCCTGAATTCCAAGAGACATTCCGCGCGCGCCTGTCTGGTACACTGTATGAAAAACATTTATGGATGTCTTTAGTTACTAAACGGCCGGGAAGTTCATTTACACGAACTCAACGTGTCACGTGTTGTTTGTGCGTCATATTCAGCGCCATGCTGGCCAATGCAATGTTTTTTAACATGAGCGGTGAACCAACGGAGAGTACAATCAAACTTGGTCCATTAAAGATTTCGATGAAGCAAATCATAATAACGATTCAAAGCTGCTTGATAATAGCTCCCATCAATTTCCTCATTGTTGCCCTCTTCAAAAACTCCAGGTCAAAATTCGACAAGTACTGTTGCAATCAGTCAAGTGAAAAGGAAGATCAACATTCCGTGGAAGTGGATGACGATGGAAACAAGCCCTTGCACCATATTTTTCTTTACGTTGCTTGGTTTCTTTGTTTGGCCACTGCCATAACCTCTGCCACAGTCGTGTTCTTCTACAGTCTTATGTGGGGTAAGGAGACGGCCGATGAATGGCTTTCATCAATCCTGATGTCCATAACCATGGACATCCTTGCAATTCAACCCGTGCGCCTTGTCACGCTAACCGCAGTCGCTGCCATAATAATAACCAAAGCAAAGAGGACAAAAGCGAAGCTCTCATCTAAGACAAGGTAACCTCGGTACCCTCATTATGTCAGTATACCAGTAAACGTCTGTCTGTGCTTTGCCTCTACTTTAAATCCTAGTTATATTACCATCTATTGAATGGTTATCGTTCGATTATCCAGCCGTTTTTTAACCGCTTGTGAGGCTATTTGGGCTCCTTTTAAACTCTTTTAGATCCCGCAGGTGTGGTTGCGCCCCACCCCCGGGGTATTGATGTTTTCTTTCTGTCTGTGCAAGGTCTTAAAGTTAGGGTCACTACAGGAGAGACTACAAAACCGTCATTTCAAATACAACTAAGCAAATTTCGAGTAGGTGTTGGAAGTAATCTAGGGTGTTGCATTTGCATCTGGTTGGAATTTTTCTTTAAGCTGTGTGACGCTGTGGCGGTAACTCGCTTCAGATTTTTTTTCCCAGTTAAGAACAAAATTTAAACAATGTTCACTTTCCGGTCACCTGTATTTGCATTAAATTCCCATTTGGCATCACTTAAATTTCTCTTGCTCTGATTTGTTATATTTTTCTTCTCAATCGGTTTCAGGCCACCAGACATGTGAGAAATATAATTTTTAAAGTCATCAACAACTAAAAACATGTCTTCCTATTGCAGATCTCTGGCACGGAGGGACAATGGGAATGATGAACCACCTGATAGTTTTAAAGGAGCCTTGCCGGATGCTACGCAGTTGGAAGGTTACAAAAAGTACAGAATCAATGAATCGAGAACTGTGTCGGCATTCCAATCTTTGACGTTCTTCGTTTCATTTCTTTTGATACTTGGGATTGTGTGTTATGGAAACCAAGATTATCACCAATATCTGATAGGTAGAGAAGTTAAGGCTATTTTACCACGAAGTGAAAAGGTAAAGATGTCATGCATGCTAGAAATGTTCATACCTTTGTCGCTGTGTAAAGTTTTCCCCGATTAAAAAACAGATAAAAAAACATAGAAGAAAACCTTAAAGCAACGAAGTCCTCGATGTAGCACATAATCTCTGAGGCCCAAATTTTAATTATCCTGATATCATGATCATTGCCAATAAAACGTTACAAACGGAGGTACACTGAATACGAAATATACTTTACTTTCCAGACAAGGCTTTATTTCGGCGCTTTTGTCATTTCGTGACTTATTTTAGATGTTGATGTTTAGAACATTCATAATAGATTTTAGTAGAAATCTGTCGGAAACAAAAGGCCTGAGATCTAGAAAAGAGCGATCAAGTACAATTATAAGCAATTGAAGACTTTGTGGATTTCATTTGAATATTGAAGTTTTTATAATCGTTATGGTAATATATATGTAGTGTACCTGTTTATAGTTAACTACATGTTTATCAGTGACGCCTTTTGGGGGTAATTTCAGGTACATGAAGCGTTAGGTTTGTGGATGTGGTTGATGAACATTTATGCTCCTGCTATGTACCCATCACATTGGTACAACGGCGATAAGGGAAACAACGAGATGTACATCAGTGACATGAGCTCTGTGTTGATTGGCATGCCACGGATCAGACAACTGAGGATCGAAAGAAGTAAGCGTGGTGTAAAATATTATATTTTACTATCATTACTTTGTATTCCACTACTTATTTGTTATTTCGAGAGGAACGAGTTACAGTTTTCCCTTTTTGTGTGTGTTTGGATTTTTCAACTTCGATGAAAAAGTTTTCTTGCGAAATTGACTTTTCACATAATCGAGTTTTATCGCTTTTTTTTCTGCTTGGACTTCGGCACGGCATCCTATTGCACGATTAAATTTCAGTCTTCCAGGGTGAATATTTGATGACAATAGGAATATTCAAATACGGATCCTTCTCTTCTCACAAGGACCTTTCATTTAAAGATAAAATAGTGCAAAGAAAAAGGATATAAATGCTTTTTAATTAAGAATAATGCTGGAAATTTGGGGTTTGGATCTACGCTGTCACTTGGTAGTTTCCATTCGTTGGAAACCCTTTACACTCGTGGGTGGTGAGATGCGGTTAGACTTAAGTGTGTTGCCCGAAAACAAAACACTAAACCCGACCAGGCCTCGAACCCACAGCCTTGCGGACTAACATTGGGCCTTTACGGCTCACCGAAAAAACTTACCTGCATTGACAGCGTTCAATATCTGCTCAGTGTAGAATTTGCTGCTCCCGACCCGTCGCAACAACGTTGTTTTCTGGTCTTACAAGTAAACTACCTGTGATGAGAAATTCTTTTTACTACCTTTCTTATATTCGCTCAATTTACTTGTGCTTACTGTAGTAATGTTAGTGCATTCTATTCGATAGACTCATGTCCTAAGAGGCTCGTGGAAATCTGTAACGTTACTGAAGTTTGCTATCCTCACTATGCCATTTGCCGTGAAGATAAAACACCAATGTACCTCCCAAAATGGAAACTTCCTCCAACTGTTCTTTCATCGTCCTCGTTTGATAGATTGTGTCCAAAGCCTTGGCGGTATCATACCTCAGAAGAAACTAACAATTTACCAAAAGTAACCCCTCGAGAAACATATGGAGGAGGTGGTTATGTGGCTGATCTTGGATATGATTTACAGACAGCAAGATACGTTATGGAAAACTTAAATGAGAACAGCTGGATCGATCGGCGAACTCGAGCCGTCGTCTTGGAATTTAACATTTTCAACAGTAACATGAACATCCTCGTGGTCGCACACTACTTCTTCGAATTCCTACCAACAGGTGGAGTTTTCAAATATGTTAGTGTGCAAATGTTGAATTTGTATGGAACAGAGACTGGTTTGGTGCAAGTTGTCTTACTTTGTCGCCTTCTTCTTCTGGTCATGATCATTGCTTTCAGTGTAATTCAAGTGGTCAAAATGTACCGTCAAAGAAAGTCATACTTCAAAAGCTTTTGGAACTGGCTTATTCTTGCCCTCATCATTACTTCTATAACTTCTGTAGTTCTTCACATCTTTCGAGAGAGGGCCGCCAAAGACACCATAAAGGAACTTCAGAGGAACATTTATGCCATGGTCAGCTTCCACAAACCTTTACGTTTACTGCACTTTGAAACTGCTGCTCTGTCCATCGTCATCTTTCTGGCGACAGTTAAGCTGCTGAGACTCCTACGCTTTAGCAAGCAAACAGTATTTCTGTCGATAACAATTCGATTTGCTGGAAAATATTTGTTTTCCTTCTCGTTCGTTTTCATTATCATTTTCTGTTCGTTTGCCATGTCTGGTATGATGGCGTTTGGATCTGTTGTGGAGTCCTATTCCAGTTTCCCACGTGCCTGTGTGGCTCAGTTTGAATTCCTACTCGGAAAGGCTGTGCCCAATTTTCAAATGGCAAGAGTAAACCCTTTTCTTTCCTTTGTGTTTTTTAGCCTTTACATTTGCTCTATGACTGTCTTTTTCCTCAATCTATTCATCGTCGTTTTGAACTGTGCTTTGGAGGAGGTTAAGAATAATCTTGATTCTGTGGCAGATGAGCTCGACTTGGCCGAATTTATGATTAGTTACTTATTTCAGGGCATTTCTAATCTATTTGGCTGGAAAAAACGCAAGAACTGCAAACTCTATTGTGAGAGTATGACTTTTGAAGATGAATGCGCCTATATTGAGAAATGTCTTATTGAAATCGATCAAAGACTCTTCATATTGTCAGAGCGCACCTTTCCGGAGGAGCGTTACTGTTTAAAGAAAGATCGGATGGTGAATACATCCCTGTTCCAGACACAGTCTCATTTGATTAATAGTGAAACAGGCTCTGACAGCAAAGTAACATCCCTTCAACAAGCAGATAGAAGGAGTATGAGCGAAGAAGAAACTCTTGATAGTCCTGAAAGAGAAGTTGTAGTGGAAGTGGACTGCGATCCCTCAAATTTCACCGTGAAAGAAATGATAGAAAATTGTGAACAAACGATAAATCGAACGGCCTCCCCTTCGCAAATACATATGGCCACTGAATACGAAGAGAATTATTAAATTTGGGAACACTTGTGGCACTTAACAAAATAATCTCGAAGTATATTATCATTTTCATTGTGTAATGTAAAAATAGCTAACCAAGTCTCAATTTCAGTGTCATTTTAGTTTAGACAGTAAAGCTTTTAAATGTCAAAGAGTGACTTGCTTTTACATACCAAGAGAGACATTAATTAAGGTCACTATCAACAAAATAGGGTGCCTTCAAACTATAAAAATGGAGACCTTTCCAATTATGACACCTTTCGCTCTTCAGTACGGCTTCCCCCAAAATATTCTTGCAGCCCCATCTTTCTTTCTCATAGAGATCTTACAATTTTTTTCCTGTAAATCAAACTTAACTACTTTCCCTAGCTGAAGAGCTAAAAAACGAAAAATTTCAACCAGATTTTGTGGACAGTTACCTCAAGCTAAGTACGTCAGGGTCTTTTGCTAGGAAAGAGCTAGATTTAAAGATTTTTGTGTTACAGGCTTCGGAAATGAAGCGGTGAATTACCTTCATTGGGGCTCGTGGAGATTTAAATGTTGCAGTGAGACACCTGGAAAATGCATATTTCGCGCCGATTTTGTGTGAAGAACAAAGTTCATTTTTTACTGCTTTTGCGAGTTTCGATGATCAGTTGTGCAGAAAAGCTAAGTAACGATTCAAGGGGGTAAGTTTCTAAAGAAACTCTAATACTACGTCGGTGGGAGAGTATAACAGGGTAATTTAGTCTTATCAAATGAGTTGATAACGTAAATCTACGAAAAGATTGGCCTAGCTGGGTCCCATTTGAGTAACCACGGCTACGCCATTAGTTTACTTGTAATAGTTGCCACTGAACGAAAAGCAATTAATCCCCACGGTATTAACGAGCGCTTTTCAGTCAACTAATTTATTCATGTTTTCTCATCACCACATTGCCACCGATAGGGTAACTCCATTTCTGCATAAAAACCCACACATAACCCACAATTCCTCCAATCGCTCGCTGACGAAGGGCTAACGCTCGAAACGACAGCTTTTAAACTCTTTACGGTGGCCAATTTACGTTATCAACTCAGTTAATAATACTAAATTACCCTGAGTAACGATTCACTTACCTGTCAGTTATAGACGTCGGTTGCTGAGCACAGTTTGATCATTACTCACGAATGAGGTCAGGTGGCTCATACTAATCGCCTTTTTAAGAAAGTCTTGTGTTCAGTTCGAACTGAAAACAGCTTAATAGCTTGATTCAATTGTATTTTAATGTAAATCTGTATTCCTCCTTAAAAGTTGCAAAAGAAAAGACAAAGTAACTTTTAAATACAACAAACATCCAAACTTTGTTAAAACACTCAATGAATAAAGGGTAAGTTTTCAAACAAACCGTGTTGCTGCGTCGGTGTGGGATATTACAAGATAATCTGGTTTTGTCAGCTGAGTCGATAATATAAATTAGGCACTTTAGGGAGTTTCTAGAACCTTAGAAACTCTTTCCGGAGGCCATTTTCTACATTATCTACTCAGTTGATAAAATCAAATTATCTTGTTAAAATACCACGAGTACAAGCGGGTGGTATACCAAGGAATCACTGTGGCTTAGTGACCAGGGAAGGGGAAGGGGTTCTACCTTACCGTTTTGTAGAAATTTGGGGCCATACCAACTTGTTTTCTTGTTAACAGAACTCATTCCGTTTGAGTCTCGTAAATCCAATCACAACAGTAATCACGACAGTCAATGAGAAGAAAGGAAACATCGTAAGGAACATTTGAAAAGTCAAAGCAAAAGCAAGCGAACTGTCTGAAGCGCCGGAATAAGTATGTAAGTGGCCAATTTGCGTTTGGTTTTAGTTATGAATGTGGTTGGCCGAGAGGATGGTGCAAGTTTGAAGCAAAACCGAAGCAATCCCGGATTATTTTCGACACCCACTTGTAACTTGTCGTATGAAGTAACAATTTGTTCGAAAACGAGGGTTTCTCATGCGCCCTGGTACCTGCATATAGTTACATCCTTTTATCAATAAGTGTGTTTAGCTTCATTTTTTTTACACAATATTATAACCGCTCTGAATTTTTTAAGTTACTGGACAAAAAACTGTGTATTTACCCTCTAAACACCGCCTGGATTAAAAAATTTAACGCGTTTGTCAGTTTGTCAATTCTATCTTAAGATAATAACCACAGCAATGGATATCACTCGTTTTACATAGTAATGAATTGTAATGATTTTTGTCCCTGATTCATCATCTCTCATCACAAAGTATGAGATATTAGAAGGAGGACATCCTACGTTTTTTAGAGAGGAAATTGTAGGTGTTGAGATAACTTTAAATCTAATGTCAGCTGAAGTTTGCATTTTACACAACTGAGCACGTAGGCTGTTGTAAACATGTTTTTAATTAAAACGTCTTCAATTAAAATTTAGGCATTGTCTTCAAAGCAATTAGTTTTGTGTGGAGATAAGCTTCCGTACAAAACTAATGAGTTCCGTAGACATTATGTTCCTCAGCTGCGTTTCCGAACGCTGATAAATGATATGTACAATTAAAATCTCTTCTCAAAATTTAAAGGGTTTTGCAAATTTATTTCTCTCTAGGAAACTAATTCATTTCTTATCTTACAAGATACTACCAAGAATATTTAATATTATGATGATCAAAAAAGCCACCATGGAGACAGGCCCTCTTTTGAATCTTGAAAAAAAAACATACTGGAACCGCAAAAGAATAAATGGCCTCATAAGTTTGCGTTTTTAAGTCATTTTGAAATTTTCTGCATTAAAAGAGACTCAGAACTGTTCTTGTGTGTTATTATTATGGTAACTTGCATATGTTAAGAACTGTATTCAAGATGGTGGCAAAAAATGATGCTTTTTAAAGTGACATATTTGCTTAATTATCTGCTGTGTTATTAGTTTTATTACCGAGAGTAAAAAATACCTTGATTTGAGCGTGTGGTCGTTTTCGATATCATGAATCAAAAGTGATGGAGGTACAACGGTCAAGTCAATAAATCAAATGTTCACAACGAATAACTGATGTCTCTCTGTCATTTAGGTATGCAGGAGCCATTTCTGAGTCTTTCTTTAATCTTAGGTCTCCTTCAAGCTCGCTAGTGTATTGCAAATCAAAGGTTTTCAAAGCACATGTCGTTGGTCTGCAATGTATTCTGGGAGGTGTTATCGTGCGTCCTTTTGAAGTTCTGTCTTTGCCTTAATGTTCTGCTCAGTGAAGCATTGACTGTACCTGCAAGAACCATAAATGAAAAGAATTGTGGATAAAAGTCTACTGTTGAAATCTGGCTACCGTCTGATGTTTCTTATTGACAACGTTCACATCAGCTAGGTGAGCTAAGATTAGAACTATCTTCTAACACTGAATCTTTAAGTTGCTATTTATGTAATGTTTACAGTTTGTTTTTCAGCTTTATGTAGTTTAGAAACACCATTGGAGATCTTTTAAGCTAGCTTTTACTTTCAAAATATGACTCTAAACTTTGTCGAGCGTGAAAATGAAATATGTACACCTGGATAAATATTTCGGTAGTTCGCTATTGAAGCTAAATTCACAACTGTTTTGTCAGGCAAGAAGTGATTGTTCGCTCGACCGACCCACAATTTGAATTAATGCAGAATAACATTTGAAGCGAACATTTTGAGCAAATGGCATGTTGAATATATGGGAAAAAATCCCCAAACAGCAATTGCTGAGACAGAATTAGATCCATAAACACTTAAGCATGCAAAAATCTAAATTGACCAACAGCAGTGAACGTTTTCGTTGTGTTTTATGACACAGTGCTTTCGCTCTACATAATAGTTTAGAAATGAATATCTTTTTTGAGAATTCTAAACTGTAATTCACTTGTCGCGGTAGGCGCTTGATTAACATCTGATCTACCAAGAGGACATTGCCTTGATGTTCTCTCGCAGTTAACAAATCTTTTTTCTCACTGTTGACAATTTCATAAACATATGCGTGGGATGAATGAATATTCAATACATGAACCGTAGTCAAAATATAACTTCTTTTCGAAATTTGCCATTTGTCGACAAATTGGTGTGGCTTAATATGGACTTAGCAGATAATGAAGTCTTCATTAAGTTTTGGCATCACACATTGAACGCTGACGCAAGCCGATGTGACCAAATCGATTAAAGCACTCCTCTAAAGTCGAATGATTTGGCGATTTTATCTCCTGAATGCAATTAAATGACAGTTTTTGGCACATAAATCTCGTCATAGTGGGAACCTAAAGTAGGCGAAAAAGCAGTTTACACATTGCTGCCACATTGCTGTCATTTTCGTTGGTTCACAGGAAATGCATTACTAACGGAAAATGTGTTCCAAGGTAAAGCTGCGACATTTTCCCATCAAAAAGAGTAAGAGTTTAGCTTAACGTCGCCCCATTTGGTGAAAAAGCGATATCGACGCCGGTGTCTTGTACAAATTTTAGGAAACTGCTGTGACCAAACTTAGTTTTGTCTCTCTTTATTTGATAAATTTAACATGTGCTTTTCACTTTCTTCTAGCTTCGCTCCTGTTCACGCTCCTTCACTGCGCTCTTTTATAATGGTTTTCTTTTGGTACACGCGTTAAGGCCATTTTGAAATTTCCCAGATTTGGAGGCAATTTTCACCTTTTTTAGTTGTTATATCGAAGTGAGACAGAAGTTTCGTATAAGGATTCGAGGGCTCTTTTAGTGTTTATATTATATTTTCAATTCCGGTCCGGCTAAAACCTTCGATGGTTCGAACAATCGTGATGAGTCTCTAGACCCGTTCAGCCACACGTTAACGAATAATTGATCAATATTCGTGCTATCTGTGAGAAAAAAACAGAAATTAATCAATTTTTTTAATATGTTCATTTTAAGCTATATCGTTACAATGAACGCAAAATCGGCCCAAATTTCGTTAGTTAGTTGCTCCACACTGAAACACCTTCAATTTGTAATGAAATTAATGTGTACGAACAACCCAATTTTCGCTTAAAGAAGAGAGAGGAAACAGTCGAAAGCCAGAATCAAATGAAGTCGATATGGGTGACTAATTCATATTGCAGCCTGAGCTTTTCCTGGTTTTTGAAACATGTAGTGACTAGCAGTCTTTGTTAAAACTGATGTATGGGACTAGAAAGTCCTTCAGGAAACAAAGTATACACCGTGTTGTGGAGTCAGGTGTTAAGTTTCTTGCTGAATGTAAGGGACTGCACAGTTTTTTACTGCAAGGTGGGGCGATTGGGTTGCTGAAATTTAATTTCCCTCTACATAATTTCCAGTGGCCCTGTTGTTGTCACTGCATAAGATAATGTGCCATTCCCCCGCCCCCCTCCCTCCAAGAGCAACTTGTCGTTGGTCCCTTTAGTGCTGCTTTCTCTGTAGAAAGGAAAATAGAGAACACCAAAAAACCCTACATCTCAGAAATGTTTGGAGAATTTTATACAGCACCTCATTTTCAGGTTCACAAAACGGTATGACCCCATCTCCATTTGCGCTTACCCAACCCCTCCCCCCGACCGTTCCTTAGTAACAAAACACACTAAATCCGGTTGGAATTAAAAGAAAAGAAGATAGAAAAACAGAAGAGCATAGGGGTGAACAGCACCGCTGCAAGGGATGCAAGGAATAGCACCGGACAGAGAAATGGCCGAAAAAAAATCGAGTAAAGGGGAAAACAGTTTGAAAATAACAACAGAGATGGAATATACACTTACTGCCTTTCCCTTGCTCGGGTGCTCTACGTCACGAAAGCCGTCGGTTTCCATACTGCGTAACTCAAATGCCACAATTGTTCAATAAACGTCACGAGTTTTCTTTAAAATTTTGCGAAAAAAAATGATAATTCCAAATACGTTGAATCCGGTATAGTTTACTGATTTTCATTTTATTTTACGCACACACTTGATATTGCACGTAGTAGTTCTGAAATCAGAAACTACTTGAAAGCTTCTACTGTACAATATTGTGCCGAATGACAAACAGTTTCCGCTCGTGAAATTACTTAGATATTGCTTTCAGTAAACGATTGACTCCGACTCGAATAACTTATGAGATCTTTAAGCCTAAAAGTAAGTATGAGTGCGTGCGTCAAAAAAGCATATCCCTCGCTAATGCAAATTTATAGATGTCTAGGACTTCTTTCACGTCTTTTTCTCCTTCTTTTCAATCAGTTAGGAGTTGTTTTCAGCCTTGTTCTCAGTGCAAATACCTTGTTTCATGTCGCAAACAGTGCCCGATGAACACGACAAACATTAAAAGAAGTCGACATCGCTTTCATTTTAAACACGTCTATTTGCAAAAAACTGACGTTTAACCCGCTGACATGTATGAAAGTAGGTAAATTTCCCCTGGCCTTTAACACTGTTTTTAATCAAGTTAGGCATGCAATTTACGAATTCTTGTTTGTTCTGTAATACAGTGGACAGTAATTTTGCATAGAAATTATTTACAAACGTAGAATGGCAATTTAACCTAAGTACATCAGAAACGAAAATAGCAGAGAACCTTTCGAAAGTAAAATGAATGACTCGAAAAAACCATCTCATCGACAACTAAATAGAAACCTGAAAAATTTACAGTGTGGCTGGTGTTAATATAGCAAATCGATTGTTAATTGTTAACGCTCAGAGAAAATTATAGTTTCTCCATCGGCATAATTTTATTGTTTCGTAGGATTTTCGAGATAAAGGAGTAAGGCTGTTCAAAATTTCGACTTAAGTGAGAACATCATCACAAAATCTGTCAATGCTCTGATTTGCTGAAGCCAGATTACTTTCCTTCAGAAAAAACAAAGTTTTCACCTGAATGAGAAACAAGATATCAGGGAACCTTTGAAATTTGCGATCTTGATGGCACCTGTCATAAGTTGTACTCTTCAGTATTTTGATAAAGAGCGTTGCCACCGCCTTCGTTGACAGAAAAAATTTAATTCATTACCATTCAAAACTCTGTGTTTTCTTTTCAAACATGAATAGTGAAGTGCCAATGGAACTTTGTTCACCAGCCTTTTAAAAATTGGTGTTTATCATTTTATTTCGTTGCAAGACTTGAGTGGTCGTAAACCTAAACATCCAGCTGAACCAAGACTTTTTCTTTCTTGAGGAGTGGGGGAGGGAGTGATTTGTAATCGCCTGCTAAGTAAACTTTACGTGTATGTCGCATTGTTCATTGAACTTCCTCAGCAGACATTTTTTTATTCAAGGCTTAATCACGGAGGAAAAGGACTGATTTCTATTCAAACTACATCTCAATCACCTCATCGACATCTCAGGCCGATAGAGAAGCATCTTGATTTTCCAATCCCTCTAACGTGAAAGTTGTAAGTATCACACAACTTCGCTTTCTATTTCAGTTTTAAAGGGTCCCAAATTTTCGTGCGTACGGGTGCAGTTAGCAACAGAGAAACGATTTATTGCCCTTCCTTCTTAAATCATTGCGTAATCAGTGTCGCGAACATCGTGCCCTTTATGACGATCATTTCTAAACGAATTATAGAGTAAATTCGAGTAAAGGTGCAGCATAAATAATTTTTATGCGAATGAAACAAGTTTAGTCGGAGTGATATTGTTTATATACCCAACGTGTCATCTGGTCATGTTAAACATCATCAACCCCATCCTTCGAAAAGAGAAACGCGCGACCGTTGGGTAACAGCAGGGAATCGAAAATAACTACTGTTTCATTCTAACTTCATTCAAAAACTTGATATTTCTCCGTTTTTTTTTCAGACTTCTGTGAAAGGACGAGCTGTATTTAATAAAATTGACCGAACTCACGGAAGACCTACGTCATAGCTTCCAGTAGAAGACTTAAGTCACCCTCTATACACGTACATATTGTTTTCATTCCCAACGTCAGAGCACCTGCCATCGCACTTTGATCGACGATATTTAGTGAAGCGAAATTTGTCAGTTTTATTTGTTGAGGGAATATATTTCCCTCGCCGGCGCCATTAAAGTTCATTGCGCCTCGGGGATCAGACAGTGGAAACAATTATTCAGCTCTGTTGTTGATATAAAACCCTGCAGGCCATTTAATAAGTATTGGCTGACATTGAATGACTCACTGGCAGGTGAACTAAACATGTTGGCGGAAAATATATTTTGATTGTCCTGGTCCTCTAAGATGAACAAGGTTGTTTTTCGACGGTGATTGGATCTTAAGCTATGACCAAGGATTTTTAGTTAATTTCATCATCTTCAGGGTCAATCTAGACTGAACTGCTGAGCAGTCATGAATGGTTCGCTTACGAACGTGTTTGAAAACGTAAGTGGAAATATTTCATTCATTTCCCCAGAAGTACGCCTGTACAGACAAGTAGAACTCGCTCTTGCCGTCATATTGTGCATCTTGTCGCCTATAACAGTTATATCCAACGCCCTTCTTCTCACAGCGATCTACAAAGATCCTCTGCGGTGTTTTCGCACACCGATGACATTTTTCATCGTGGGTCTCGCCATATCCGACCTGCTCGTGGGATTGACCGTCGAGCCATTTTTTGCAATTTTTTACGTAGTTGGTTTTTCCAACTTCAACGCAAGGCCTGGTGCAGTTTATGAGCTAATTCAAAGGATTGGCGGAATCATTTCTACTATAGCAATCAGTGTGTCATTTTTCGTGGTTCTCGCCCTGTCTGTTTGTCAATATGTAGCGGTCACATACCCACACAAATTCAAGGCCTTAGTGTCCAAAAAGCGAGTTCTCTGCTCTCTTGCTGTGAGCAGTGTTTACATCACGGGCTTTTGCATGCTGCAGTTTACGGGAATAGAGCTGAACACATTTTTATTAATAGACCTTGTCATGCACCCTACTTTGTTTTCTATTGTCTTAATCGTTGTTCAGGTACTACTCTATACATCCTTTAACCGCCATCTCAAACGAAAATACACTCTCCGCAGAGCGGCCTCTGTGAACCAGTCTCTCAGAAGAGCAAATTCTTACAAGAAAAGACACAACGAACGCCAGTTTACCATCATGACATTTTATCTTACAGCCATCTTGTTAGTTTCGGCTTCGCTGCACAATATTGCTCTCTACATTTATCTTTTTAAGAAACCAAAAAACTTGGTTGAAAAAGTCAATATCCATATTTGTCTACGAGTCAGTGATCTAGCGCTTTTCATCAAAGTCGCCCTGGACATTTTTATTTATGCATGGAGGCTTCCCTCGTACAGAAGAGCTCTTAAGTGTACTTTATTTGGACGTCAGCGAGTGACGCGTGGCTCGTCTACGACTCTTCGTAAAACAAGCGATGCTCCGACTGTGATGGAAAATGGCCAGAAGGAGACTGGGACAGAAAATTCAACAATGCTGCAGCCGCTGGTAGCTTGTACATAATTTTCCAATTCAAGGATGAAAGAACTGTGCTAACAATTTGCATTTCTGATTGAGCCCTTAAGGCATTGTGTTTACTGAGATAAATATTCCTTTCAGACAAGTCTTAACAAGGAAACTGAGCTATTGTGAATATTTGTGAATTTTCAGATTGTTCCTGTGGCTAAGTTTGAAAACCAGTTGTTAGGGGAACGCCCACAAAGGTTTGCTTATAGCTATATTAAAAAAAAAAAAAACGATTTTAAAAGCGAAAGGCACTTTTTTGTTGTTTCTTCGGAGAGGACCCGTCACCCAGATCTCTATTTGCGTTCTTCTCTGCTGAGAGAAATATTACCAAATTTTTATTCTTAAAAGAATACTTATATTAATTTTCTAAGACTGGTTTCCTTCACACACGAGGATTATATTTTATCATCACCCACGAGAGTTTTCTTGTCTGAATGACATCCCATGTATCGAGTACAATCGCCCGCTTCATTAAATGGAAGGAAGTGTAGATATAGCAGTTTACATGGAAAAAGTAATCAAGAAATAAGATGCAATAACCACAGTTGTCCAACTTTATCTCTCGACAAACAATTTAAATTTTCCGTTGAAAAAAGTACTCATCATTTTCTTCTACCTGGATATACAGTAGAAAATCATTTCTTTGTCTACAAATTTATACAAACGAAAGCTCATTTCCATAAAAAGAGAAGGCAGCGCAAGTCGCGCATAATAAAGACTACTGAATCCAGTAGAAGTAATTTTTTCGTTATCCCTAGGAGTTTTCTACACAGCCGGAAAGTAACAAGGATAAAATATTGTCAAAAGATACTAGACACATCTTTTTGCACGTTAAGCATTCTTGTAGACAGGGAAAATGTGTTTAAAACTCGGTTTTAAGTTTTAGAGAGCTTCATAGATCAATTTGATTGACAATTCTTAATTATTGATTTTGATGCACTTAGACGAGCTACATTAAAATTGTTTTTCGTTTACAGAGGGACACCATTTGCCTAAATATCAACTGATTTAGCCTGCATTGAACTGAGATTCGCTCACAATCTTAAAATCAATACAGAAATACATTTAGGAGCCAGTAGATTGGGTGGATCTTCGGTGCTTATGTTTACCGATATTATTTGCGTCATGGAAATCTTTTGCTTCAGTCAATAAATTGTAAGTGCAATGAGCGTCTTGTTGAATATTCCTAACGATTATTGCGTCTCTTTTCGTAAAGGCTTTGTGTCTGCCTGTTCAATAATTAATTTTTTTTTCTAGTCTAGTCTAACCTCTGAGGGTAACTAGCATCTAATTCTCTCTTAAAAATGGTATCGCATATTCATACATTAAGCTCATGGAAGTTAAGGAAATGATCATTAACTTGAAAGACTCTTGATTTTTATCTAAATTCTCCCTAACGGTGCCATGGGAAATCTTCAAATATTTACAATAAAGGGGCCCCTTCTTTAATCTGGTTTCCTATGATTCCGTGCCCATTATTTGACAAAGACGTTCAATTAATATAGGATGTCACGCAACGCTTCCCCTAAGAGAAACTCTCTGGGCGGAGCGTTGCGTGACATCCCAAAGAACGGTTGCGAAGGAGACTATCGGTTTTCTGGCTTGTTACTGGGATATAATTGGATACCTGTGGTAGCCCAGTCATAAAATGCCTTTGTTTTTTGTCGTCTTTTTTTTTTTCCTCCGCCACAAAATGGAAAAATTGCGCAATAGTACCCAGAGGTCATTGGGCCCTCAACACCATGACAACTAACTGTGATCCAATGAGGTGTTCACATGCTGATCACACGTGTTATCTTAATGATGATTGACGTTGTCATGCACAGACAGGGCCGGGTCACATGACGAATCACGAGATTCTTTGGTCAGTTGTTTTGTATTTCTACGTATTTGGATTGCGATCTCCTGGTGCATTATGGCGCAAACGCGCAAAATACTTCCAGACGCATTTACAATTAATTTTGGAACGGATTGAGTCGCGAACGCTTGAAAGCCATGAACATTAGCTATTACATTGCTAAAATCTGTACAGACATCACACCAACTAACTCGCGCGCAAAGTAAAAAAACTATATTGAAGGCTTGAAATTATATTACGATCGATTTTAATCAAGAAGTGGGCTAGGAATTTTCCACAATAGTGCAAATAATCGTGAAGGCTGATCGCGGAAAAGCGATTGCGTGACGCTTGGTAAGCTGTAAGATGACATGTTATTATATACCAGACGTAAAAACTCTTCAGATTCTCGGTCTGCATTTTGTACCCACTTTGCGGTCTGCAGTCTATATTTTGTATCCGGTCTGCAGTCTGCTTTCTGCATTTTGTACTAACAGGTATCCGTGGCACCAATACAGTTTATTTTTGGTTACATTTGTTCGCACAACACACATAATCTACCACAAAATACCTGTGTGTGAGGTAATTCGACATTTTCGTTCTTTTCCGCGTTAATACTCTTCTTTCCTTTTGTAAGAATGAAGACCACTTACAATGTTTCTAGTAATCCACCCACCCTACAAAAAATAACTCTTGCATGCATAGCATACCTATGTTTTGAAATAGGTGTATGCCCTTGGCCAAACTTGAGCTCACAATTTCAGTATACTATTCCGACACCCGTAGTATCACCACACTTGATTCCACGGATCCAGTACCATCCAGGTATCCCAGTTACCCTGCTTACAGGGTCTAGTTAACGTTTCCACAATTTTCTTGAGTAACATGACTTTAAACTAGCTTTGCGGCCTGCACAAGTATTTCAGCCGCGCTGACTTGCCGCCGGCCGTGCTCGCGCGATGAATTCGACACTGGGAATGTAATACTGGATCAACGAATACCATGTCGATTGTCCATCTCCCTTAAATGACCTTGCTGAGGACAGGAAGATTACGTCTCTGTTGATGGCCGCTGACGTAACGCGTATCGAAAAATCTTTCATGGGAAAACTTGATAGAAAAACTGCAAGGGAACCACAAAGAATATAGAAAACCTTCCACATAGTTTTGAAGACCAACCCTCAGCATTGAAAATGTGCTGAAGTTTTATTTGCACGGTCGAATAATTCGCTCAAAGAAACATCTTCCGTTTCGAATTATCGCACCTCAGTCGGTTTACGATCAGCGCATTTTATAACCTTTCCATTGATATAAAGTTTATGGTTCTCATGCTTCAAACAGTGCAAAATTTTTCGCGAAGGGCACCCGCCGAGGTCGAAGGCATACTTAAAACCGGCGTAATAAGTCCTACGCAAACGAGTGCATGCATGCCCGACCTCGACATAAAGGGTACATATGTGGGATCATCATCAGTAGCTGGGAACAGACCCTTATATATAACTACCGTACAATTTTAATAAAAAACCCCTTGTATAAATCCTCATTGTTACATGGGCGACTATTCAGAGGAACAATTGAAAACCCTTAGATGTAAGATACGAATCTGAGACCCCTGGATGTAACGAAAGCATCCACGATCGGAAAATCTTAAGGTCAGGGGTCTATGTTGATCGTTAATTTTTACATACAGTGTGTATCTTGTGCTCAGATGTTGATATTGACCTTAAAATGTCACATCAATGTTAAACATAATATTTATACCGATCATGAAATCTGGGTGCAGATTTTTACCTACCTGTAAGTAGTTTCTCTTTTTTTGAGAGATCTGTTTTCATTTAGTCGCGGGAAAGTTAGTCGAACTTTTCAAAATCAAATCTTGCCGAGCGTCGTTGATTCATTCATCCTTCTTAATTCATCATTCGTTTTTTCTTTTTTTTTCTTTCCCAAACCCTAGCTACCTCCTTTAGCTTTTGATGGAGAGGGCAAGTTTTTAAAAGAATTTTGTTTTGTAAATTGGGTGAAAAAGGGTTTATACATAAAGTGTGAATAAGCTCAAAGTTGATACCTAACGTGCAAATTTTATAGAAAGGGAGTATAGGGTGAGATTTGAAGTTTTTCCTTTTCGTGACGCAGGAAATACTGTTCAAAGTACAAATGCTTGAAACGGGATCAGGACCGCCCCCCTCCTTGCCACCCTCTGTAAAGACTCTGTGAAAAATATAACAATGATATTAAACCACTTTCAACGACTGACCCTGGAAAGCTGGTTTACTAACTTGGAACAGACTTCCCTCAACAGGTGTCAACCACTACCGGCACCATACAAACGAAGCATTCACGACATTAACATTACAAACGAACCGAACAGAACGACCTAACTTCACTAACGGATCGATACGACCAATCACGACCGATCGATACGGCCAATCACGAACGACCCACGCCACTTGAGTCTTACAGCCAATAACATCACGGCAAAACTGGCCAATCAGTTCATACAAACCGGACTAAGAACATTCGACTGACAACATCTATTCACTTGACTCTGATGATGACTTCCGCTCAGGTTGTCGAAACGTCAGTCACCATTACCGACAACAGTCCTTCTCAGGACTACACTCACCTGGACGATCAAATTACACTTTTAAATGATATTAAAATTAAATTTACTTCCCACCTTCAGAGGCCGAAAAATCG